AGCTCCGTGATTCCTGTCTACGCGCACTCTTTACTCGTGGAATGTCCACTTTGATGGATTGCAGCTGTGGATATATGCATGGATATACTACCGAAATGCAGATCTAACAAAAAAGTCATTTGGAAAATTCTTCGACAAAATTAATACCTATTTTCGATCACATGTCCTGTGCCGGCGACTTCTAATCAACAGCCACATTTTTTCCCTGCCATTTTTCTCAACTTTTACATGGTATTGGATGAGCAATTCGAACACAGGTCCAAGGATGAAATCTGTGAAATGTTCTCCGCTTTGTAAGGGTTACGATTTTAGTTATCTGAAACTGTCCGGGACTTATGTTGAGCCTACTCTAATGCCGAGCGCAAATGGTGGCATGTGTCAGAAGTGAGTTTGATTTTTCGATGCATGTATATAGAAATTATTGATGAATTTCGAGACCCAGTAGCATAGAGCATGTAGGCAAACCCACCATAAATCCTCTAGAGCGGTAATCACACTTTTCGGATACCAAGGCAAAGCATGTCCTTTTAAGAACCGCCAGGATAATTATAGAAAATTTGTGAAACGTTTCTGCTGCAGGAGAGCCACGGATTTGTTGCACTTGTTCTCAATGCCAAAAATGACCTGGGGAGGCAGCCTCGAAAATGCACGCATCAAAGTTTTAACTTTCCCGAAGAAGCCCTTCTCTTCTTAATTTAATATCTTGGGATGTCCGTATTTCAATACATACATATGAATTTCGAGTGGAGTGTCCTGCTTGATGCCGAGGATGGGAAATATGTGCGATTCGCGAAAGTCGCACGCGAGAAAAAAATATCCTTTTTTTTACACCGATGTCGAAGCAACAGGATCCTACCCAAGTCTGTGCAGGTGAAACCTGCTAAGAAGTCACCGCAGGACATCCGGGCAGCCATCGATTATGGCCATGATATGATCGGAACATTCATAACAGACGCACACTACCGACTTCGTAAATTCACAGACCGCAAAGAACGAAACATGCAACTTTTTTCAGGACCGACTCCCCACACAAATATTTGAAAGTCTACATGAGATCATCACGTATTTCTGTGAAGTAGAACGAATAAAAAAGAAAAACACCTTAGAACAAAAGTGGATTGGGACATCTCATAAAAACGGCAATGAATCTATATCCCAAAACAAAGTTGTAAACCTATCCTCCAAAGTTCTAACATCAACCAAAGAAACGGTGCTGAGCAAGGGCATGATGTACAATCCAACGGATTCCAATTACCTCGAATTCCTTGCCAGCTTTGCATCAATCATAACTTCAACCAATCTAACAGAAGAAGAGCTATTCACAATTCGTAACAACACTGTGCATGCCTTGAAGAACCGACATAAGCACTCAACATTATCATACGATGAAAGAAAGTCACTAAATGCACTCAAACAAGATAAAGAGATAATCATTTACCTGCCGACAAAGGAGGCGTTACCACCATTCTGAACAAAGTTGACTGCATAGATGAGATCATGTCACTCTTAAATGACGATTCATCATACAAACTTCTGCCCAGCGACCCCACAAAATCGCAAAACTCTTGCATTGAGAAAACACTAAAACGCCTAGCAGGAAAGAAGTTAATCTCAGGCATTCTCGCCAACTCCTTAAAACAGGATGAACCCACTATTGCTAAAACATATGGACTTCCAAAAGTACATAAAATCGGCATTCCACTGCGACTGGTTGTTTTCTTGATCGGTGCACCCAACTATAAAGTCTACAAGTGGCTTGTTCACCAACTAAACACACTTACAAAAAACTCTGAGTATTTCATTGAAAATTCAAAAACCTTTCTAGACAAACTAAAAGGAATCAAAGTCTCAACCGACGAAGTCATGGCCTCATCCGATGTGGTCTCACTCGGCACCTCGATGCCTCTGGCTTTAGCGAGAGGCAGCACTGAAGAACTACTCCAGGCCTACACCACTGATGTACCTGCTGATGCTTTACTCCAACTATTAGACCTTTGTCTCGAAACCAGCCTTTCCTTCTCCGAGCTATGCCAACAAAAACTTAAATGGACCCCTATGGGCTCGCCCATATCCGGCTTTCTGGTCGAAGCTGCAATGCAGAAGTCGGAATCAATACCTCTCTCCACAACCGAAACATAATTCTGGTTGCGCTATGTAGATGATACCTTTGTAATAATCAGGAAGAATTATTTAGATCTCCTCCAGAAGAAGCTAAATTCCCCATTTCCAGGAATTGAATTTACATTCGAAACGGAGGTTGATGGGCAACTCCCCATTACTAGCTGTACATGTACATGGAAATGCTGATAGATCACTCCATATACAGTTCTGCGAATCCTGCAAACAACTTTCAGGACGAAATTTGACTTGGCAGTTTAGCGTATATCTGGACAGTTTATTTTGATCAACTGAGTGGATTTAATAATGAGAAGGGCTTTGGTTTGGAA